ACAAAGGCCTCTTTTGAGTGGGCTGGATACTATTTTCTGACGTTAAATTGAGGTCCATTAAATTGCGGCTCACTGCACTCACAGGCATATATTCTTTATCCTCGGTGAAAAATGACGGATATCATTGCAGATAACTGAGGCATTTGCAGTAGTTTTAAAACTCATTTTCGTTTGCGTCTGCAGAACTGCGTTACACTGCCACTGGTGTGCAAAGTTGTGCACACAAGCGGTCGTTTCTATTAATTAGTCATCATGCACACACTGTTGAATTTGTTATATTGTATTTATGTTGTCGCTATAAATTGTTATAAAATACACTATTATCAATATTATCGAAGGCTATTTTCCTTCACAGAAACACATTGCAAAACATTTTGTTATTTTTTGGGGAAGGGGCTCCAACCGATTAATGGCGTTTTCATTCATTTTAATTGGGAAAAATTCTTTGAGATGTGTTTCATGTTAGGAGCGTAGTTATGGAACAAATTGAATCTCAAGGCTTCGAATGTATATGCAATGTATATATATTCACATATGATGTGCTATTGTTAATTTTACCGCAAGATATATTTTATATTTATTTGTATACTTTTTGTTCTTCTGCTTCTCCCTTTCATAATTTTGCTGCTGTAAATTGGGAATTTCTCCATTGTGAGACAAATAAAGGTTTTCTTATCTTATCTTAAGATAAAAGAAATTTACCCCCAAAAGGATTCGGCTCCTCTGCTAATTCTTGTCTTACGAATTGTCAGGGGACATGTTTTGAAGCTGTTGTCGTTGGATTTGGAGCAAGCCAATGATGTCCAATGCATCCCTTCTGGCTTTGTTGCAGCCTACGTCTCAAAAATCTGTTCTTTTACCTCTGTATAGGCGAGATAAGAGTTTCTTTCCCAAGGCTTTACCTGCTCCGAGTCCTGAAATGAAAAAAAAAAAACCCCATAATCCCTCGAGGAGAATCAAAGTAACCTATGACCTTTGGTTATGAAATGCTTGAAGATGACGTGATGCGGTTTGGATTGAATGTAAAGTACCAGAAAAACTGTTTTCTTGGCAGGCTTGATCAAAGTAAATAGCACAAAAAGAATATAATATCAGCATGAACTTTGAAGTTAAGTGCAGCGGCAATATTGCTCGGCCATACTTAAACACACACACCAATTGATTGGCCATTGGGCCTGAGTATGTCTTTTCATCTGTTACTTAGCAACCGTGCCCGAGAGGATATGGACACAGAAGAAGTTTTATTTCTGCGCATGTTCAATTGATAAATAGGCATGTGATTAATGAAAATGTCATCATTCTGACTTGAAATGCCGAACAACCGAAGGAGGATCATTAGCAGAGACGATCGCAATACTTTTGACCCTTGAAATAAAAGTCTTTTGGGGCAAGGACGAATTCAATGATCTGTCAATCAATACATCTGAATGTAATAATATTTGAGGCCAGTGTCATTCGGACTACTGTGGGAATGTTTTCCGATATTTATATTTTGAAACAGGCTCTTTGGTGCGAAAAACAAAGACAATAATGTATTCACGTGAATTGTACATGCATGACCTCAAACATGACATTTCATTATTTCATCTAAATATCATTCAAAGTATTACATTTTGAACACTATTGTCCAGTTTGAAGAACACACACCCTAAAAAAATTAAAACCTCACCCTGACCTCTGGAGGTCAGGTTTTCAATGGAAAATAAAAATCTGACTTCCTTTGTTGATGTAATAGATTTTAAAAGGACAATCAGATTTTGACCCGCAACATTTACAACTACAATGTCAATCGTCCAATTTCAAGGGTCTGCTTTAATCTGCCCTGCGTGTTGGTGAGGGGCTTTGCAAAATTCAATTAGAAATTGACGTAATTACGATCATAGTATTTGTTGTATCGTGCAATAATAGTTTCAGAAATCACATTATCGTAAATCCAGATTCTGTAAAGCACAAATGTTGTCTTATTCAATTTTGTAATTTGACACACGTTAAAAGGTTTAGACATACAGGAGGTTAAATTAAATGTACAATTTACCTTTGCATCATTTTTTTTTAGCCCAGATGGATCGTTTCTTTTTTCAAATATTTAATCCCAAAGATTTTTATTTTAATATTTGTATTTTCCCCGTGCTTCTGAGATTGAGATTAAACCTTAACGAGGCAAAAGTCTGCGAGTTAGAGCATCGCTGCATTTTTCATCTGCTAAACTTTGCACACAAAATAAGCTGTTTTTGCTGCTCGATACTCTTCTCTGCACCATTTAACACTTTATACATGCGTATCTAAATTCAATAAGTTTGTTCCACTGTAACTCACCATATATTATGGCCTCCAAGAGGAACACAACTATAATGTCAGGATATCATTAAGGAAAAGGAGATTTAAACAGTAAAATAATTTGAGGTAGGCAAAAATGATTAAAATGACCTGTTTATGTGGTTGCTTTCGTGTTGACGTGTTGTGTCGTTGCCATCAGCAGCTTGGACGTAAATGAAGGCAAACAGGCCGACGAGTATCGATATTAACCTTCCTGGGGGAAAAAAAAGGCTCCATAAGTCTTTTTCTCCCCTTGCCAAAAAAATTAAAAAATAAAATAATGTAAAAAGCCGCGTGGAATTTATTTTACGCGGCGTGTTTCGACGGTGTCGGTTATTGGCGAGGCACGGGTCAAAAGAATGAAGCATCCCCCCCCCCCCAAAAAAAAAGATCTCCCACAAATATTTCTATATTTAGGGAAGCCCGCTGAGTGCGACTGAAGTCATCGTTAATCGATACATCGAACGTGGCAATCAATTGCACAAGTGGGGAGCAAACAGCTTAACCACGAAGTTTTATCATATACGGTGGGGGGGGAGGGGGGGCAGCGCGGGCCTTTTTGTGCTCTCCTTTGCGAACTTCTCGTTACATTAAAATTAAATCCGTACCATCAATAAAGAAAGTGCAGTTTTGGATTATGGGAGGCCTCCGTCACGGGTCAATGTTTAAAAAGTGTGTGTGCGTGTGTGTGCACGCGCGCCACACACACACACACACACACACACACACACACACACACACACACACACACACACACACACACACACGCGCGCGCGCGCATTTAAAAATAACTTGTAGGTTCTATAAAATTGGCGTAAATATATTAGTAAATTTATAGTTTCAGGAATACGTTTTATTTTTATGCTATTAAATAGAGTATACTTTTAACGTAAAATTCCCACCACATGTTTATTGGTTATTCTACATTTGCAGCATTTTTGGGTTGTTTAAATTTGTCGGGTAACAATTATGCAGGATGTGAACATACTCAAGTGGGTATTGAAATAATGTCAGTGGTATAATACACACAAGCGCACTGCACGCCGACTTGCATTATTCAGTTCTCTGGTCGTATAACCACATTGTGTAATTCGTCAAACCCGATCTAAAAAATAATTAATCCGACAATTTTTTCATTCAAACTGCTCGTTGGATTAAAGGACTGCTGTGTTTTTATTCCAAGGATAATTTATAGTGAGTGTCGGCAATCTCACACCACAGCCCTTTAAATGCCGTGTAAGGACGTTACCATTGCTGGTTTGAAGAAGGCAGAATTTCATTTAGGTTTTTTTAATTCAAACTGCTCGTTGGATTAAAAGACTGCTGTGTTTTTATTCCAAGTCTAATTTATAGTGAGTGTCGGCAATCTCACACAACAGCCCTGAAACTGCAGTGTAAGGACATTGCTGGTTTGAAGAAGGCAGAATTTCATTTAGGTGGTGAAATTATTATTTTTACAGTATTTAGATTTTGGATTAAAAAATATATTTTGTGGGGGAGGGAAGGAGGGTGAAATGAATACATGTAACTCGTGAGAATACAACGAAAAGCAAAGTGGAAAACGGAATGTATCACTGCTCACTACTACTGTACGTCACCATGTAACACAATTCCCTGTTACATTTCTGAATATTTGCGTATGGATACATGTCATATTTGGTACCCGTGTCAAACAATAAAATCTTAAGATGTTTTTTTTTCTCAACAATTCTCTACATTTAACGCGCTTTGCCCCCCTGTTGAATTAAGTTGGCTCAATCTGATTGACGTGCAGCGTTCCTGCTCGATCGTAACTTTATGACCTCTGTAACCCCCCTACAAGCCCCATTCGAAGACCCCCTCCTGCCCGAGCTTCGTCATTAATCTCTGTCAGTCAATATTTCGATCAGCTTTATCACTAAGCGTATAAAAAAAAAACCATACAGTCCGTGGGAAAACAAAAAACAAAGTTTACCTTCAAGACAAGTACACATGTGTGCGGAAACAGATATAGAAAACAGATTTGTGCTTGTTTTGCACGTTTGTTTGCCCCTGCAAAGACTCGAGAGAAATAAACGCGAGAATACGTCACAATGTGTGCTGCTTCTGCAATAAATCGGGAGGCCTGATTCTTATAGACCCATTTCGGCGCTTTTGTGAAAATTATCATGCAATCGTCGAAAAAAATCGGGTTTCTCTATATTTGGAACCGTCGTGAAATTATTTTCCAACGGGTCTTCTGAAGCTTGATTTCATTTTTAGGCCAAATGTTTCCCGCCGCTGCCTGCACTAAATGACTCCAAAACCTGTGTTAAGAGAGTTGAAAATCCACCGGGGCGAATTTCATTTCCACGCAGTTTAAAGCGAGGTGAGGTGGGGGGATCGATCCGTGCGCGTGGCCGCACATGCGCGTCCACGCCTCTCAGGCGCGCGGATGAGAGCGCTGTTGGACCAGAGATGAGATATGATCGCGTCCCAGCAAGACTGCGCGCTTAAAGCTCCACGACCCTGCGAGAAAGGCGCCACATCTGCGCGCGTAGGAACAACGCAAGTTGTCCACGCCGGATCGGACCGATCGAACGTGTCTAATCGATGGATCGGCGTTCACGTGTTTTGGTAATTTCGGCGCTCCGGGACGACGAGGAGGCTTAGGGAAGAGCGAGAGACACGGGGAGGGTGGGGAGGGAGAGTTGGAGGGGGAACAGATGGAGCTCACCATGGAGAACCTTCACAGCATCTCCTCGCACTCCCAGGTGGGGAACCTGATGAGCTCGCGGCCGTCGCCTTCCCCCAGCTCGGCTTCACGGAATCTGGTGTCGCACGCCCCCGGCGCGCGCTCGGCGATGGTCTCCGGAGGGATGACCTCCATCCTGGAGAGCTCCGGAGGAGACTACCGAGCCGATCCGTCCTCGCTGTCCGGACACCTGCACCCGTCCATCAGCATGTGCGAGAACGGGATGAGTCTGAGCAACACGTACACGACCCTGGCCCCTCTGCAGCATCTACCTCCCATCTCCACCGTGTCGGAGAAGTTTCACCATCCGCACTCGCACCATCACGCCGCGGCCCACCAACGACTCTCCTCCGGGAACGTCAGCGGCAGCTTCACGCTGATGCGGGACGACCACCGCGGGCTCGCCCCCATGGGCAATCTGTACAATCACTACCCCAAAGAGATGTCCGGCATGGGCCACGGCTCGCTGTCCCCGCTGCCGAGCGGCCTGGGCTCCTTGCACAACCCCCAGCAGCCGCTTTCGTCTTACGGCCCGAGCGCGCACCTGCCCGCCGAAGCGAAAATGCTTTCCCCGGTGTCGGGCTTCGAGTCCCACGCCTCCATGCTCTCCCGGAGCGAGCAAGAGCACCTGGCGAGGAGTTTAGGAGGCCACGGCCACAGCATGATTTCCAACTTAAACGGCATGCATCACCACCCGCACGGCCACCTCCACTCGCAGCCCGGCGGCGCCGTGATGCTGGCGGACCGCGAGAGGCACGGCCACGGCAGCGGGCAGGGGGTCGCCGGCTCGGGGATCCAGGCGGAGGAAATCAACACGAAGGAAGTGGCCCAGAGAATAACGGCAGAATTGAAGAGATACTCCATCCCGCAGGCCATATTCGCCCAGAGGATCCTGAGCCGGTCCCAGGGGACCTTGTCGGACCTGCTCCGCAACCCCAAACCCTGGAGTAAGCTTAAGTCCGGCCGGGAGACGTTTAGGAGGATGTGGAAGTGGCTGCAAGAGCCGGAGTTCCAGCGGATGTCTGCTCTGAGACTGGCCGGTAAGAAAGTGTCATTTTTTTCACTATTACATCACCAAATTGATCCGAACTTGTAAAAGGACCCAATCAACGTGCACGGGCCTCACATTTCAGCACCATGGAGAGTCGCTGCTGCTAAAACAAAGCCCTGGCTTCAGCAGTAATCCCCCCTCGAGCATTCTTTCTCAACCTTTATTCCGACAAGGCACGTATTTGAGATTCTTAAAAATCTCACGCTACATGCAACCCCCCCCCCCAAAAAAAAAATATACATATAAGGAAATCATACTCAGGTTTAGTTTTGTATCTGCTGCCACACAGTTTTTAATTGTTCTGCATATCACTATACATCACTGGCATAGATGATTGAACGTCGATATATTACTTTTAGTTGATTTTTGGACCAATTCAGTGATATTTGATCATTTCCAGCATCATTTAACTCATGGCACACTGGGAATCACGGACCCTTAAGCAGTTCTCTACTCTTACAACCTCCACCTGTTTTCCTGTTTTCAACCCCAAAGCACCAGAAATGCTCAATAAATAAAAATGCAATTTTCAGACGGTAAACAAGACTTTACGCGGGAAAAAGAGGGGGTGACCCCAGGCTGCCTGATCAATACGCCAGTTCCCACTCCCCCTTTTAAATGTGGCACACAGATCAATACTCGTATGGGGAGCTGAAAGACGCAATAACCGCACGCTCGGTGTGACTTTTCATTAAGCAGACTGTAGGAAAAGCTCTAAAATTAGAACACAACACGGGTGCGAGGGAGATGGAATAGGGGGTGAAAAGTCGTCGCTATGAGTTTGCTTATGCCACGATTTTGGGCCATGAAATATTTGGAATGTTTGGAAGAATAGTTCTAATATCCAGATGACTCCTATTTAACTATTTGTCACGAATAATAAACATCTCATGGACGTGCGCTGCAACCAGCATGCATGTTTATTCCTCCTGTGACAGTGCCAGTCAAAACATACCGCATGGCATCATAAGAAACGTTTCAATGTCTGTCTCAAATAATAACAACAATGCTCAGTGTTGATTGACGCTGCTTGGGGGTGGGGTGTGGGGATGGTTCCTTTGACAATATGTCTATTATTGTGGGTGCACAACTACAGGTGAGTGTCCAAAAATTTTAATGTTGAGGGATAATTTGTTTAAAAAAAAAAAAGTCAATCTTGTATGTTATTTTAGTTCACCGCAAAAAAATAAAATAAAATAAAAGGGGGGGGGGGGTTATGTTATTTTAGTTCACCGCAAAAAAAAAAAAAAAAGGGGGGGCGGCTTCCTTTTGCATTCATGACAGCATCAAAGTGGTGTGGCAACATCTTCCTATTGACAATACTCCATCAATTTGCGATGGGGTTCACATCAGGCAAATTTGGTGGCCAATCGAGTACTGTTATTCCAATCAAGTATTGGTAGTTTGGGCTTTGTGGGCAGGTGCCAAATCCCGCTGGAAAATAAAAAAGCACCGGTGTCCAAAAATCTCAGTGGTGCTCTAAAATTTCATGGTCAACAGATGCGTTGATTGTGGACTAGACAAAGAATGGAACCGCGCCAGCAAATGACGTGGCTCTCCTCGAGTGACCGAGGAACCTTCACACTGGACTTGAAGCAGCTTGACTTTTGCGCTTCCCCGGCTTTCCTTCAGACTTGCCGACTTTGATTTCTAAAGCAAATGCAAAACGGACTTGCCTCTGAATAAGTCCAAGAGACGAGTACTCTTCTCTCCTTAGCCCAGCGTAGACGCTTCTCACGTCTTGGGTTTAGGAGTGGCTTGACGCGTGGAATTCTACAGCTAGCTTGCAGCCTGTGTGTCATGCCGACGTCGCTATGTGGCGATTCTTGACGCACTGACATGAAGCTCTGTCCGATTTCTGAATCGCCACCGCTTTGACAATGCTCTGGCAATCCCTGTCACTTGTGCACCTTTTCCGTCCACGTGTCCCCTTTTCCACTTAACACTCCGGTCATGTACTTTGGATACGGCGCTCTGAGAGCATCCAGCTTCTTTTCGACAGCTTTTCTCCATTCTTGCGCAACCGTCACATCAGTGGTATTCCCCATGATCGTCAAGCCTACTACGCGAGACCGAGGCTGTTTAAAGGCTGAGGAAAAACTTCTTCGGGTGTTCTGCATTAATTAGCTGACAAGATTGGGAAACCAGGAGCAAACAACGTTGACCTTTGTCATGATATCTCAGCCACTCAGACAACAGAATAAGTTACTTCAGGCAAGTCCAGCTTTGTGTTCGATTCAAAAGCTTCAGATTTCACACCGACAAATCCATTTGCGAGCGAATCGAGATCCTCATTAGTTCTTGACGCAGCCTTTTTTTTTTTTTGCGTGTGACATTTTTTGTTTGTTGGTGTGCCGAGCGATATTTCTTGAGGTGTCGTCGCTCAATACAGGTCGGCTATCGTGAAAAACAGACAGAGAAGTTCATTTTACACGCAAGGTCCTGCAACGTCAAGGTAGTGCGGAAGGACGGCGCAATTTTTCTGCCTTTTACGCAGAACCCGGCAGAGGGAGAATTGTTGAAATCGTATTAACTTGCCGCAGACGATGTCGGTGTCGTGTGAAGTGTTAATTCAACTTCACACCAATTCTATTTGTTGACATTAATCCAGAAATGAGGCGAAAAAAAATCCCAGCATTTTCCAATTAGCGTACGAAGAGATGTCAATAGAGAGATAAATAGATGGATGGATGGGATGGATGTGGATTATCAAATGAGGTTCTGAGTGTCATTAATAGTGTACCGCCATCCTTTTTGTGTTTGCCTGGCTTTGCACATTGGAGATCAATAGTGCCGTTTCCCGATCTCCCCTTCCCGCCCCCACTTTTCTATACATTTCCCCCCTCCACGCTCCGCATCATGCCGGTAACGTCATGAAAACACAAGCCTGCTGGCTAACCTTAGTAACAGGCAGCCAGTTGGTTTAGCTCGAAAGAAGCGGAACGCCTAATGGATCGGAGGAGGCAGAGGGTGAAAGCCGAGCCGAGCGAAACCTCGCTCTCACGTTAACGACGGACTCGACTCTCTGAGATTTCATCGGTGGATTTCACACATTGGGATCCGAGTCGGATGAAACTTCAGAGGAGGGCCCGCCCGGGCCGGCTTGGGTGGGGAAATGACATGCAATAGAAGAGCTGCACGTACAGTAAAAAAAGGCTGCGAGATGCCATTGATTGAGCGAAGGCAGCCAGGTCTGCGCTTTGTGTGAAACAGCCTGATAGAGGCAGGCTAGCGAAAGGATCAATAGCGACTTTAATAATTGATAAGTATGAGGGAGACGGAGGGCCAGGGGGGGAAGAAAGGCAGGGCGGAAAGTGGCGGCGTAAGCTGCTTGTAACAGCATCTTCTAGGTAAGCAAAGTCAAATCTGTGGTTTGACGCTCCATCTCGCGGCCTCGTGGCACGAGAAAGGGCGTGTAAGTGGTTTGGGGAGAACCCCCCCCCCCCCTCAACATCCTGACAAACATGGTGTAGATTTACAGCCGCAAAATGCTCAAAAATATAACCCGGGGGTGGCCAAAGTGCAACAAAGGAGTTTCGCCACGGCTGATATTAGGAGCTCACCGAGAGCATCCGATTTAGAGCCACTCGCGATGCTTTCCGCTCATGTCCGCAAATCCTCATCGGCAGCTACGTGTCATTTGATTTTAGGGCTCGCTTTATGGCCTTTGTAATAAGTCTTCGCGGAGGTGTGCAGTGTGTGTGTGTGTGTTCACGTGTATGAATGTGTGTGTGAGCGGGTTATAGAGTGTGTCTGCACTATACATTGTTCAGGCTTATCTGACTGGCTCTGAATCGCTATTGATTTCCTCTCTTCTGCTCTCTTCGGTGCGCTCCAGCTCTCCTTCCTTCCTTCCTTCCTTCCCTTGTTTCCTCCTCCTCCTCCTCCTCATTTCATGTCTGGCTCTGGACCAGCACATCATTCCGTTGGCCTGAATCCTTATTTCCTCCCCGTTGTCTCCTAAAACACAAAGATGGAATTATTATCAAACTGTGAGAGAGTGCAAGGAAGACATTTGCAAAGTTTTTTTTTTTTAGCAAACCCCAGTTGAATATTTGCAATTTGCTTTCATGATAAATAGAACAGATGTTGTCCCCTGACATGGTCATCAGGCCACACTGATATCTATCTCATAATTATGACAGAAATATGATTTGTGTGCAAGATTTCATGTGGCTGGGGAGTGGAAATGGATGCAGCAAACGTGGCCGCTCGCCATCTGATTAAATAGAACAGATACTTATGTTGTCCCCTGACGTGGTCGGTCATCAGGCCACACTGATATCTATGTCGTAATTATGACAGAAATATGATTTGTGTGCAAGATTTCATGTGGCTGGGGAGTGGAAATGGATGCAGCAAACGTGGCCGCTCGCCATCTGATTCCTGTTGGCTTTACAATTGTCATTTTGATTTTGTTCTCATTTCAAGATCTTGAGCCAAGCGAGAAAGCTCCATAGCAACAGTCAAGTCTGGTTGTAAAAAAAGCCAAACGGAAGGCGATCCCTCTTAAAACTGATTAACAAACGGCAAGTCAGTGACATGCAGTTGATGTGTTTACAATTGGACGTTCATTAATATGTTTCTGTCGGACCCTTTTGAATGATACTGTATTTTTTTATAAACAATCAATAATAATTACGTTATTAAAATGAAGCACGTTTGTGTAATTATATTTGATTATAAAAGTGACTTTAAGTAAAATGTAATTCAAAAATATAAAACAAGTGATGTTCCTTTTTTTTTTTTTATCAGAGAGCCAAGCACGTTTTTTTTTTCGTATTCATATTGGTCTGCCAAATAATAAAAAAGTGGAAAATTTCAAGTCTTCGGTGTGACAGCAGGCGTTGAATCTTCATTCGCAAACGCGGAGGAAAAACGGAGAAGGCATAAAAAAAAGAACAAACGCCGATAAGACGGCCGTTTACAAGACATTCAAAAGCTTCCCATCGCTTGTCTCGACAAGACTACGCGCACTTTCAATTGACAACTGGAGGAAATGTTTCAAATAATCCACTCGTGATCAATTGCGGGCGTTTCGCAGCGTGCGTGCAGGCAGGGCCGCTGTGTGTTCGTGTGTGCGGGAGGGGGCTGCACGACGAGACTCTGATCAATACTATCAATAAGCGTACATCTTGAGAGGTGTGGCAAACACACACTTATTTTTTTTTTTAATGACGTTTTGCTTGAATTGGCTTTCCCTATTCTTTGTCGTTGCCACAATTATCGATTTTTTTTTTGGGGGGGGGATTTATTCAAAAGCACGAAAAGTTGAATGCGCTCGATGCACAGTGACCATCTTAAAATACTTCATTAGGTGTGCTACGCCTTACACTGTAGCCTAATTGTTCCTTCGTGAAGACAGTTTTGATCGGCGTTGCCAATCATTTTTATTGTTGGGGCTATTCATGTCCAACTGCAATGCAGTATAGTGGGAGGTGTTTCTCATATTGTGGTGACCTAAATTTTGAGTGGGGACCCAAAATGGGACATTGGTCAATGTGGATTATTTTGCTCATTGTCAGAGTGAAATTTTATAGGCGTTTTATTGACATGAATTCTTGCCGAAGAGCATTTATTGTTATTAAAAAAAGTAATCCTTCTTTATCATTAGTTTGTTGAGTACTGTATGTGCGTAATGTGGCAATATGTGTAAAAGGTAAGGTACCCAGTCAGGAAGCATATATATATTGTTTGAAAAATAAAAAAAATATATATAGGAAGCATTTTTTTAATTTGGGGCTGAAGCCTGCTTGATAATTTTGATGTTAATGATCACAGTGTTGCACCACTACAAAGTGCAACTACAAAACTAAGCATGTTTTCTTAAAATGTCAATCTCAATTGGTGGCACCGCCCCCCTCCCCCTCAACAATTTTTGAATTTCATACAATATGTTGAAATAGCACACTTTGAAGCAAATGAAAAAAAAAACACAACTAGAAATATGTTACGGACATAATGACGATCTCACACATGAACTTAAAGGGAACTCTGTAGTCATTGGCATAGATAGCTGAACAAACATTATTTTGCACTAGTTAAAAAATTTCACATTAATAATTTCTCGTGGCGTACCTAATGGCGTGTCCAGTAAAACGATGATGCAATTGTGGAACTTCACAATCAAGTGAGATTGCACGAGCCAGCAACGTCAAAGCAATGCAACATCTGGCAACTGCCTCCACCGTACATTTCTTTCACCGTCCTCACCCGTCATGAAACTCCTCAGTGATGAAGCTGTGGAACAAGAGACAATGATTTCATCTTTTGGCTTCAACCTGGCTGCTGAGATCAAGTGGCTGTTTGTTGACATATGAAAAGAGGCGAAAGCCACTCGAGAGTGTGGAGTGGAGGCGCTCGTCCCTTCAGAAAGGGCCCATTTGATAATGAGGCACCTAAAGATAGCTTTGCTTCTTGTCTCCAGAGAAGGCACTTTAATGAGATGCTCCCTCTTTTGCTTCCCTGTGGTCCTATTCATTGCCGTGGAGCGGACCATTCAGGGGGCACCATTTGAAATGGACCTATTGATTATCTGAAATATGTATTGACCGCGCTTAGACCTTGTGCAAAGCCTCATTGTACCATATATGCTCACGGTCCCCAACCTAATACACAATATAGTAAAAAAATGGGACTATTACTGGATACCTTTGCTCGTAGCATCACTATTACACATATTCTTTAAAATAATAAAACTCATCATGATGCAGATTCTGTGGGAGCCCTGATTGTCCCATCTGGAAATGGAGGCAGACAAAAGACACCTAAAGCAAGTCGCCGACTTGTCATTAAAGAGAGGGGATCTGGAAAATGGAATTTGCTGAGATGAAATTCTCGCTATTTTGTCCGAAATGCTGCTTTTTAACGAGTTGAAAGTAGCTTTCCCCTCCCCTGGTGCAGGGAAAGACGTGGTCAAAATTAAATAGTCTGCGGATGTGCGGTGGATAGAAAGTCTGCACACTCCTGTTCAAATGTTTTTTTTTTTTCATGAAAATGAGACGAAGCTGAATAATTTCTAAATGGTCGCCATCTCATAAGCGAGCTGTAACCTCCTAAACACAATAAAAAAAAAATTATCATCTGAAGAGAGGAAGTAAAATAAATAAGTGACATATTGTGGTTGCACAAGCGTGCACACCCACCACCGTTTAAAGAGCCCCCGATTAACCCCAAATAAAGATGTTCTAGTACGCTTTTCCTGATATTTATCAATTTTCTAGCAGAAGCCTGAAGGTTTTGCGCTAAGGACCCAGTTCCAACTGAAAAAAAGCCAGCCCCAAATATTCACCCCAAATAAAGTTCAGCTGTTCTCGTGAGCTTTTCTACACTTTATGAAAGAAAAGTTTTGAAACGATTCCTCTTGCTCTTATCTGTTATTTTTTTTATAAGACCACAAAATTCAACAGGTACTTTTCGCATCCTCTGTTTATAAATGAAATCATCATTAAAAAAATAAATCCAACTCTTGACCAACTTGATCTGAGCTGCACACCGGTTGGTTGGGAAGCTGGATGCACTTGAACGGAGAGGAAGCAGAGTGGTGTTGGCATTGCGAAATGGCCGGAAGCCCAACTTGTTGGAAAACAGGCATTACATATTAAATTATCACTATATTAGCACTAGCCTTCAGTCATTACATTAGGCGGTATTGAGTTTAGTTTGAGATAGCACTTAGAGCGCCTCGAGGAGATTCTGGCTTGGCTGAACCTGAACCAATTGAATAAACGTTCCATGAAATGGTTCGGATCAATCAATATGGGGGGCTATCAATCTGAGTGCAAATTAAAACAATTGAGGGTGGGGGGGGGGTAGACAACAACAACAAGGGGCAGCCAGACAGAGATGTGCACATGGCAGTTGAAGTGGTTTGCGATTGCTGGGAGTTACAAACAGGTGAAAAATGAGGATACGGACACACGCATGCTCGCCCAGTCATGCATACACATGTGCACGTTCATATTGATCTCTCCTCACAGTCAAATCTGTTTACTGTTGTTGTCTAAACCTGCTGTAAAGTCATCAATCATGTGCATGCACCACCTCCACTCTGCGGCCAGCCTCATTGCCTTTCTTCTTTCTGCTCCTCCTTTTGCTCTCTCCTTATCCCCCCAACGGCCTTTCTCCTGCATGCGTACACACAGACGCGACAAAACACTTTTAATTTTTTTTTTTTTTTTTTTGATAAAGGGACATTGCTTTGGGCATATGCTTATTTGAGACATCCTCTTTGTTCTTCCTCTGGTCAACAATGTCTCCTCACATGTCTCAAAGCGCGCTCCCGAGTCATACACCACGCGCACATACACCCACCCACCCGCGCACACACACACACACACACCTCGGCCTCACGGATCGATGCCGATCGATCGGGTGGGGAAGGGAGCCCTGATTACTGGACCACGTGTTCGGGAGAAAACCGCGGAAAATCGATCATTGCAGCTTTTTAGGGCAGCAGAACAGAACAGACTCCCACCAGCCTTCACAGCCAGAAACGAGCCCTCGCCGACGGTCTACCGACTAACGGAGGCCCGCGTCTTTGTCAGCGTTTCACACAGAGCGCCTCCAATTCCAACGAGCCGCACAAATAGCCGCAATCAAGACGATTTATCCACGCGTGACCCGCCGCCTCCTCCCCGGAGGTAGTCGAGGAGAGAGCGAAAGGGAAAGAAGAGAAAGAGCACTTCACAACTTCACAATCATCTTGCCTAAACATGAAACGGGTTCAAAAATGAAACATTCTGCATTGAGTTTCCTCAAATACTTAATGAAATATTTAATTGTCTGCCTGTCACTGTATCTCGGGCTGAGATAGAGGAACAAAGATCATTATTTGTGTCAATAAATAAGACCCGGCAAGTGAAATTGAATTTCCAGTGGCATCCCCGATGAGTCGTTGGGAATCACTTTTCTTGACTGTCATGCGCTGAAGTGCAGACTACTTTTTGTGGGCGCTGTATGCGGCAGCGCCGTATATTTCAGCTTTACAGGTACCACGTCTGCTGTGGTAACGACCTTTCCATCCGCACGTGGCTGGTTCTTGACCTTTCACATGGGGGGGTATTTTTATTCAAGTGGATGACAATTTAACAATGAGATGGATAGAATGAAATGCAATTCGAACAATGTCACGCATACAAAAAAAAAGTCCCATTTTTTTGTTTGATTTTAACTTCTTTTGTCACTTCATGTTTTGCTGCCATCTCAGATGAGCATCCTTGAACTCTGTTCCTTATTTCAAAAAGCTGACTTTTTTGAGGGACTATAATGAACCTTTTTTGTTTGTTTTGTCCTTCTCCGAACCCCTTTGTGTCTCCAGCATGTAAACGCAAGGAGGAAGACCGAGGACGAGAGCGCAACCAGGTGCCAAAGAAGCAGCGACTGGTCTTTACAGACCTGCAGCGACGTACCTTGGTAGCCATCTTCCGAGAGAACCGCCGTCCCTCCAAGGAGATGCAGCTCACCATCTCCCAACAGCTGGGCCTGGAGCTTTCCACCGTCTCCAATTTCTTCATGAACTCGCGCCGCCGCTGTCCGGATCGTTGGGACACCGAGGAGCACGGTCACGGGGCGCACGGCCACATGCACGCCGCTCATAGACACGGCGGCAATGCCAGCTCCTCGCCCATCCACCCTGGCACCTCGTCGGTCAGCACTTTCTCCAAGGCCTGAGGGGCAAAGAGCTTGAACACAAGCGTGGAGGACGCAAGGAGGGGTTGTTTAAATGAAAGCAGTGAGCTACAGGGTGTGTCTTTTTATTTTATTTTATTTTTTTTTTAAGATCTGATTCATCTGCTCGGTGCGCTTACGAAACGAGCAGAAGAATCAGATCGTTTCTGTAATTCTGAATGTTACTATCAGGGGTGAACTCTTCATATACCAAAGATACGGCCTCTTTAAGCACGTGGCTGACAACTAAAAGAAGAGAATGAGATCGAAGGGGTTATTTTGCTTTGTGCTGGTTTGCTTCTCCACAATTAGATGTTCCTCCATTTCCGACAGCAGATGTCCCTGCCGGGCGGCACTCCACCACAATTTATGACACTAACACACAAAGGACAGTATGTTGGTGTCAAGTGGTCCTGTGACCCGCTAACCACACGCCTCCTCAATAATCTGCAACACCGCATGTGTGTACCATTCGTAGGCCCGTTGCAACAGTCGGCTTCGGAATAACACTGCCACCTGCTGTCTAATTTCAAACCACGTCTTCTCGCATGTTTGTGTCCGGTGCAGTCGGCGCTTTCGAGGTTACACCCGAAACGCAGCAAACGCAAAACCAAAGATCTCACTTTTCGTGCATTGGCGTGATGCACGAGGGGGAGCTGTGCAAACAAAATCAAACAAACACACAGAAGCAAACCGTATTTCCTCAAATTGTGGCCAGGGGCATTTATTTACTCAAGTGGATTCATGAGGGTTGAGGTGTTCACATGGGGAAAGCCTCCATTGTTACAATGATTTAAAAAAAAAAAAAAAAAAAGATTTAAAATAATGTTACTTTTTTCATTCCTTAAAAAAAAAATTCCTATCGCACTTGTCCTCAATAGGGTTGGTGAGATGCAATATCATAAATATATTTATCAAAAAAGGAGGAGGAAAAAAAAAAGGAGGCATCTACTCGAGGAGCAGAATAAATTTGTTTGCATGATAGAACGGCGGGCACAATTTGAGGAAATACGATAATGACCACAGATACACATTTGAATGTGCATCTCCTAGGTTCTTAAGACTTCGTGGTTCTATGGCGGTAGCCACCTAGGAGGTTATTTTCAGGTTACATAAGGAGAACAATCAAAAAAAAAAAAAAAAAGGGGGACTCCCTCACGGGTCATCGTCGCCTGCGCAGGGAGCGAGCTCGGCTCTGTTCTAGTGGCCAAAGACGGAGGTCAAATGTCACAATATAGGATCCTGAGTGCCAATGATATTTGCCTCTTTATGATAATCAACGAACAGATGCAGGCTCGCTCTTAGTGTCTGGCTCCTGTCATCACAACCATCCCACTGCAAGCACTAATGGGCATGTCGCCTAATCCATACCTCAGAGAACAAAAAAAAACAAAAAACAAAAAAAAAAAACACTCTTCATGTGATCTACACAGTATATAAATGTAAATAACTTTTCATTTCATTGTGTCTTATCTAGTCCATCTATTTGCTACAGTCCCTGTGGTGGTCTTTCTTTTTATCTTTCCCTTCCCTCATATTGATGCGGGTAAATCTAGTACCATAGACACATGGTTTTTCTCTTTCATGACTATTGTGCTATGTTGTGCTGATAATGTTTAAAAAAAAAAAAAAAAAAAAAAAACGCACCTTGTTAAAATATTACCAAAAAAAATAAATAAATATGAAGAATCAACATGTCATAGACTGATCCTATGCACAGACAAGGAAGGGATACCTCAAGTGACTGTGCAATTTTGTGAATACAATGTCGATGGACTTTCTGGACGTGAAGGACCTCTTCCTTGATCTTTAGACTTTGACTCCTTTGAATTGGACTGTCACTGCATTCCTCTGCTGATCTATTTCATTGTTTGCGTGCGCGGAGGCGTGGTGAGGTGGTGGTGGTGGTGGTGGTGGTGGTGGTGGGGGGTGGATGTTACCATGAGTAGCACCTCTTTTTGTGTGTGTTACTTATCCATGTATGTGGGCAAAGCCACGAGTTGTGTAGCATCTTCGAGCGGGAGATAATCATACGAGGGAGGAGACAGGAAGGAAAAAAAAAGGGTGCGGCAGAGGTGGCTCATTATTATATGGGAATCTTCATGGCACTCTCCGCCGTTAATTGGGGTTGTTATGTAGAGCGTTACAACACAGTCCCAGTTATAGAGCTGACTTTTTGTTTTTTCAAGGGTTATAAAAAAAAAAATCAGTTGAGATATTCCAAATGGTGGCGAGTTATGGGTGTGGCTACCTCACAGAAATAGTGTGGACTTCGTTTTTGCCATTAATACCAAAGATATTTCAAAGTGTGTCATGTTCACACTGGACCTGGGAGATACACGCATACATCGGCATAGAGAAAGGGAGGCGCATGCACACATTTTCATTTTCATCGACATTACATGACAAACACACGATTGTGTCTTTGCGATGTTGGAAGAGTTGAGTGCCTTTTCCTTCAACCAGGAGTTGGACCGCTCACCAACACGCGCGCCAGGGATTGAATGATCAGTCGACTAGTCAAGTTGACTTTACTACTCAGAAATGACGTTTTAAGGTTGAGGTTGACTAACGGCTAACTCATGTTAATGGCGTCTTGTCTTGTCGTCATCCAGTTGGCCAAATTACAAAGGGACTTTCTTCACTCCTGTCTGTTGCCGTTGTCGCAGTATTAAAAAAAAAGTGCGACCATCTACAGGTGGCACAGTTTTCATACGTCCGCAGTACAAAGCAAAAAATAGGGTCTCACTAGCTTTGGCTATTCAAGTTGCAGCTAGTCTTTAAACATTCATACCGACAGTACGTTGGGACTGTTAGCAAAGAACGAGGTCAGCGCGGCAAAGGGAAACCATCTTGGCCACCAAAATACGTCAAATAACGCAGGGGACAACAACTGTGTGATAACGAGAGCTTTGTTCATATCACAACACGTGCCAGCCAACATTGCAACACGAGTCACCGCTTGTTGTCGTACAGAATACGATTGTATGCGGCAAGCTATTTGACCAAAAGTGGCGCGAAATATGCAAGTCCATCCTCAAATACAATAAAAGCACAAGTGAAATTGAAAAGGTGGAATCAGACAAACGCTTTTTTTTTTTTGGTTTGGTTTTTATAGCTTGCCTATAACGTCCCACCTTATACCGAGCTATGTTACGGAACACAAGATAAGTAGACGCTAACATTTTTAAAAAAAAATCAGCAGTCTTTCGATCCCTAATACACACCGACACACACAACAAAGGGAGGGGGGGTGGATACGGGTGAAAGAGGAACCTTAACTCAACACATCACCAATGATGTTCTGCCTGCAATCATATTTTGCATATCTTTCACTTATTAGACATGATAGAATTTCACTCTCACCACATACACACACAACTACTACAAGTAGATATTTTTGTGTACCGGTAATTTGAAATCTGGATGTATATGTGTATAACTGTGTCTGTTTACAACTCTCACGAGTTCCTGCTGTCAGAAACGTGGCCTACTAATTACCGATCCAAAGAAGAACGACTAGCCTTTCCTTTCCTATTGTTTCTTCCCATGCAAACACACTCTTCACTGGTCCAGGGTAGCATCACACATTAGCAGGCAAGTGCAGACGAATCATCTTGATATACCTCAAATCTTTTTTGCATTGCATCTTTATGTTCGGCAATGGCAGTGATGCTACAGTCGGCGGCAAATGATCCTCTGTATTAAGTATGACTTCTTTTGGAAGGAGTGAGAACGGCATTTTTATGCTTCGGCATTTCAAGTTAATTTATTGTTTGTATAGATTTGCACGCTGTGTTATTTGAGAGAAAGAAAAAAAAATAATTGGACAAAAGTATGATGAAGTCAGAATCATAAAATGCAAGATAAAATGAGTTCATGATTAACAAACAACACTGTTCAGTTTGGCTCATTTTGTGTTTGACGACTGGCATCTATGCGTGTTGAAATGATTCGTATTAAAAAAAAAAATTTTTTAAAAAAGAATCAAGCAAAGCACCTCTGTGAAAAGGGGTCAAGCAATTCCTTATGCATGCATAGTATATAAGTGTATTTAAAACTCCAGCATTAAATGTACCTCGACGGGCTGCAGAGTTGGGAGGGAGAGAGCGTGAGACAAAAAAAAAAGAAGAAGACTGGGTTTGTTTTCTAAGTATACATTCCTTTAAGATAAATGTCTTTTTACGTGGTGTTTATGTTTTTGTATAAATTGTCTATTAGTATGCCCACCAGCGTCAGTTCTGTGTCTTTCCCTGACCTTTTGTCTCTTGTTACCTCCCTTTGTGTGGAAATAGTCTCCACGTATATGTCCGAAGGCTATTGATTTATGTATTTATGTATTCATTTTTCCAATCATGCAGGTACGAGAGTGGGGTTTGTGTGACATTGCTGTATTTCAACTAGCCTGTATTTGATCTCCTGTTCGATTCGATGGGTTGGGGATGTTTGTCTACTTTAGGAGCTGGCCCGAAGTACAAACAAACAGACGGGCCGGGCCGCTGCTGCTGAAAGGCGCTTTCTTCCAGTGAATCAAAATGGCGTCATTTGTTTTCCCCTCAGAGCTGTGGAAGCCACCGTGTTGATGTTCTCTCCCTCTCCCGCAGCCAATCAATCAATCAGAACCAAGTGTCTTTGTTGATGGTAGGAGACAATCAATTTCAAATAGAGCAAAGAGACAAAAAAGATGGAGGGAGAGAGCGAGAGAGAGAGAGAGAGAGAGTGATGGAGGAGGAGGTCAGTGAAACTGGACAGGAGAGATGCAAAGGCAAGATGAAGGACGGATCTCTGAGCGATGTGTTCATGTGTGTGGGTTCACCTTTGACCTACAGAGAGTGACCTTTTCGGGAGGAGGCACCCAGGAACCTCTCCCGTGTTGCGAAGGGAGCAGAGCTCTGACATGTTAAGCGGACATCTAATCGAAGACTTTGATCAAATGGCTGCACACACATCCAAAGACACACGCGCCTCAACACGCAAATGGTACTTACCCAGAGAGCCAAGCCTCTGTCTTCATCGCTCCTTAAAAAAAGTCTAATTTGTCTGCCTTCACAAAGAATTCAGAAATGAAAACGCAAGGACACATCGTGTGTTTGGACTGACAAAGAAAATAAAGATTCAACCAATTAGTAGACTTGTGTCTCGTTTGTGGTGATGGATTCCTAATGAGGTGCTCTGCTGCCATCTGGTGGCGGAAAAAAATATAAGCATACAGCCCCCCCACCACCAAAAAAAAAAAAAAAACACTAGGTAACACTAGGAGAGAAATAATTCCAACGATCCCTCATCATCCAATC